GATATTATAAGATTCTTTTCTTCTCTCTGCTCCTTTTCATTTAATGATATTGTGCTTTTTTGTTTATTTTTAATGTTTGTTTTTTGTTGTTTAAATGAAATAAATTTTATTTTAGAAAAAGAATATTTTCTGCAGAAACTATCAAAGGACTTGCCGCGTGTCGTCCAATTTAAATAAAGATTTGAATTTACCGTTTGTTAGAGATCAGTGTGATCTACTACCATCCCAAATATGAGCCATATGCTGTATGTCAGAAAAATAAAATATTGGAGTGGCAGCGCCCTCTAGTGACCAGCGGCTCCTCCCACAGCGGCTGTGGATATGGGCACCAGTAACCTGTGTGACCCTGACAGGAAGCAGCAGGTTATAATGGATGGATGAATTAGTTTTTATGTTCCATTCTAAATAAAATGGGTTTATTAGATTTTCAGATGATTCCATTAACCTTTTATTTTCATTTCTCACAGCACCCCATCGTTTTCAGAACTGGGCTCGATCCCTCCATGCCTGGTCTGCATGTGGACTAAATTCTGTCCAAATTGGACCCATCTTTCTGGGCCTGAACAGTTGTGGTCAGTTTTGTGTATTTGTCGTTGTGTCATTCAGGTGTTGCCGTTTCGAGCGCGGGTGCTGCGAGCCTTGGCTCCGCCTCTGGATGACAGGAAGAGGCTGGTGAGGAGGGAAGCAGTTCAGGCTCGAGGAGAGTGGTGAGGAACTCATCCTGCGCTCACTCATTGGTTGTTTATTTTTTTGTCCACGTCACAGGTGACAACAGTGGTTTCCTGTTTGTCTTTACTTCCTCACAGGTTCCTGTTAGGAAGTCCTGTGGGCAGGTGATCCTGCAGGTTTTATTCATCTAAACTGAGGAAACAAACATCAGGACCAAGAAGCAGAGCTGTGTGAACTGCTGCACAGCTCTTTGTATGAACTCATGGATTTTCAGCATCGTGTGTCATCATCCCTCCGCTCTTTTTTCTTTTGTCCTCAGATTCAATGTTTTCTGTGCTCAGTGAGGCTGCCTGGACTGTTTTACAATCAGCTAAATAACAGGCAACAGCTTGTTTGTCAGACATAAACACGACTGAAATGACTCGTTATTTCATATTTCATCATTTAACCGTTTAATAACATATCCTGTTTAAAACCTTTTATCTGTTGACTTTTCATTGTGTCTCAGCCTTTAAAGTGACCTGTGGGTCGTTCTTCCTGCACAGTTTGTCTTTGTTGGCACTGATGAATAATATTTTAATAATAATAATTTTAATAATTTTAAATAATTTTATTAATAATATTTCTACTTGTTCACTGCTCAGAATATAAACATTGAAAAAAGGAGCACTTTTATAATCACAAAGGTCCAGAGTTTATCTTCATAATCAGATGAGGTTTTTATGTTTAGTAACTTAAATAATAAAAGCTCAGTTAGAGTTTTATTTGAACACTTTATCCTGGACGAAGTCCTGATGTTCCCTGGGACTTGTGCAGTCGTGTTCTGACCCGTCTGTCAGAAATATGGGCCGAGTCTGAGAGCCAGAGAAGACTGCTAACAGTTCAGGTGTTTCATCTCATGAAAAGCCCAGTCCTCCACAGCCTGTTTGTGTCACTGCAGAAGGAAGGAAGGAACGAAGGAAGGAACGAACGAACGAATGAAGGCGCAAATGAAGGAACGAACAAAGGAACGAATGAACAAATGAAGGAACAAACGAACAAAGGAAGGAAGGAAGGAAGGAACGAACAAAGGAAGGAAGGAAGGAAGGCACGAACAAAGGAAGGAAGGAAGGAACGAACAAAGGAAGGAAGGAAGGAAGGAACGAACAAAGGAAGGAAGGAAGGAAGGCACGAACAAAGGAAGGAAGGAAGGAACGAACAAAGGAAGGAAGGAAGGAACGAACGAACAAAGGAAGGAAGGAAGGAACGAACAAAGGAAGGAAGGAAGGAACGAACAAAGGAACGAAGGAAGGAAGGAACGAACTAAGGAACGAAGGAAGGAAGGAACGAACTAAGGAACAAAGGAAGGAAGGAACGAACTAAGGAACAAAGGAACGAAGGAAGGAAGGAATGAACGAACAAAGGAACGAATGAAGGAAGGAAGGAACGAACAAAGGAACGAATGAATGAACAAAGGAAGGAAGGAACGAACGAACAAAGGAACGAATGAAGGAACAAAGGAAGGAACGAATGAATGAATGAACGAAGGAAGGAAGGAAGGAAGGAAGGAAGGAAGGAAGGAAGGAAGGAAGGAACGAACAAAGGAAGGAAGGAAGGAAGGAAGGAACGAACAAAGGTACGAACAAAGGAAGGAAGGAAGTGTTTGTCAGTAACTTTCCACACAGGGTTCAGGTGAAGGATCAGGTGAACCAGGACCACGTTGGACCTGCTCAGGCTTTGATACTTGGCAGTAAAAGTTCTACACGGTGTTGGAAACATTATTCAAACGTCTCAAACTGTTAAAAGCCAGTTAGTTTTCAGATTAGTTTAAAAACAGCCAATGAGGAGGCCTGCCTGACGTGGGTGTGGCTCATTCCAGAGCTTCAGAGCAGCAACTGAAAATGCTCCAACCCCTCTGAGGGGTCACTTTGTCCTGGGCTGACTGGAGATACCGTGCAGGGGCATGGGGCTGGAGAAGCTCTGAGAGGTAAGATGGGGCAAGGTCATGTAAAGATTTAAAAACAAATAAAAGAACCTTAAAACAAACTCTAAAATGCACAGGCAGCCAGTGGAGAGAAGCCAGAATAGGTGTGGTATGTTCCTTCTTACATGTTCCAGTTAGCAGACGAGCAGCAGCATTCTGAACCAACTGGAGCCGTGCACCGGAGGACTGACTAACTCCAACATAAAGTGTGTTACAGTAATCCAGCCGAGAGGTGATGAAGGCATGGATTACTGTTACAAAGTGCTGCTGTGAGAGAAAAGACTTCACCTGTGTAAGCTGAGGTGGAGAAAGCTTGTCTTCACTACAGCACTAACTTGACTGTCCATCTTAAATTACTGTCCATTTTAACATTACTGTCCGTCTTAAAATTACTGTCCATCTTAACATTACTGTCCATCTTAAAATTACTGTCCATCTTAACATTACTGTCCATCTTAAAATTACTGTCCATCTTAACATTACTGTCCATCTTAAAGTTACTGTCAATCTTAAAGTTACTGTCCATCTTAAAATTACTGTACATCTTAAAATTACTGTTCATCTTAACATTACTGTCCATCTTAACATTACTGTCCATTGTAAAGTTACTGTCCATCTTAACGTTACCGTCCATCTTAACATTAATGTCCATTGTAAAGTTACTGTCCATCTTAACGTTACCGTCCATCTTAACATTACTGTCCATTGTAAAGGTACTGTCCATCTTAACGTTACTGTCCATCTTAACATTACTGTCCATCTTAAAATTACCGTCCATCTTAACGTTACTGTCCATCTTAACGTTACTGTCCATCTTAAAATTACCGTCCATCTTAACATTACTGTCCATCTTAACGTTACTGTCCATCTTAACATTACCGTCCATCTTAACGTTACTGTCCATCTTAACATTACTGTCCATCTTAACGTTACTGTCCAT